TGTCATAGCTGGTTTCCGATTGAACATAGAAGAAACAGTATTTCTGGATGACAAATCCAGAGGGAGTCAGGATGGTGGTAAGTAACAGATCTCAAGATCTAGGGTTCTGGCCAGTATACTTACATTCTGAGCTTCTCCGTCGAGCCACGCAAATGATAGCCGCTTGGTTTTGTGTGCAGAAGCTGCTGGAGTTATTAATGGATCCTTGGAAGCCTCATCTGATTCGTCATACTTTGACAAAGCATCTTGTACCCTGCACATGGTCTACAAACTTGTAAGATTAGACAAAACTCTATCAGGAAGGAGACAAGAACTTCAGATAAAAATGGATGATGTTGAAAAAAAGATTTTACTCACTTCCCTCATCTTATTGAGTTCCACGCTTTGTCTTCCAACAAGGATGGCACAGTACCACGTCGCTTTATCATAACCAGCTCGAGAGTATCCCCGTGCATCACAACCAAGTTCCATTGATGTTGTGCTTCTTAGTTGAGGAAGCTCTTTTAAGAAAAATGATCATAAACCAATTAAAACGATTCATCTACCAGACTAAAAACTCAGCTCAGTAGAAAAAGAAAAGCACATGCAGAAACCAAATATACTGAACATATAATTAGTGGAAGCATAGGGATTACGTAATTGCTTGTTCTGCTCCAAAATGTCCAGGAACCATGTACGGTTGCCAGATCCTGCAAGAAGGAATTTATTATCCAATCAGTTTCCTAATCATGCATTATCAGTAATTTAAAACACTCAGTTCAAGATGGTGAAAGACCATGATAAACAACAGGTTTTGAACCCGGATCCTTCATAATCACAATGGCAGGTGCAGATTCTACCTCCAACCTGTTACAAGAGAAGAAATACGAGATGAGCCAATATCTAACTACGCGGTGGGAGAATCAAAGGATACCACCAAACCACATTTATTGACAAGAAATCTTTCCCATAAGCAATAGACACTAATGCAGATAAACAGACTTAGAAGTGCAGTGACATACGCATTCCACCAGAAAGATGCATCCTCTTCTCTCCAAAGCACGTGAGATAGAGAAGCAAAATTCCAATAATCTTTTGCAGCTTGGCGAACAATAGGAGTAGCTCGCTCTCCTGTTTGTGAGAATAAAATGACTTTCACCTATTGAGCAAGGGGAAAATAAGAAAAAAGACAAAAAAAGGGTTTAGGTAGTAGATGTGATGCGGAAAACTATTACATGTCTGATTAGTATTTCATTAATTTCATAGGATGAAAGAACGCTTGATAAAGGATAAATTCTAAAGAGAAATAGAAAAAAGCTAAACAAACCTTATTAGGTGGAACTTTGGAGAGGAACTTGGGTACCTGTATGCAACAATATATTTCTAATTATTTCCAAAAAAAAAAAAATCTAGTTACCTGAAAAAAAAGGAAACAGTCGAAATATCCAACAAATGCCAACATATCACCACTTAACTAGACTCCAGAAAATTTTGCATGAAATTGAAGAAAACATGTAAGCAAAACGGTCTCACTCTTATAGACCATGACACGGAAGAATTCAAAATGATTCAGGTACTAAAAGGCCTGCAGCTTTGCAGTAAACCAGATCAAAGTTTCCCAATAAAAAAGTTCCTAACATGGTTAAACCTAGATCCCTCTCTCCAAAAACAGTGTCTTTGCTGTTTCTGGACAGTTATGATAATCAAGTACTGAAAGGTCTGACTGGACGGACACTTCTCGAGGCAGTATGGAAGATAAACTACCTCAAAAACTTATGTCATCTGTAAGAAAATTCTAAATTCATCATTAAGATGGCTTTAAAGAAAGCATACCAGTGTTTCTTTTGTGTGATAGAATACTCTAGGTAAACCCAGTACAGTGGTCGCGAACCAATCGGTAATTGCATCTGCTGACAGCTCTCCTTCAAACCTAACAAGTACATATATTTGAATTATTATTCTGGAAAATAAGGAAAATGAAGCAAGAAACTCATCTAAATGACTACTCCAAGAAAATTTTCACAACCCAATAAAGAGTGCAGAATTTTATGCCTTTTCCGCTAAACTAAAGGGTTCAGTCAGTGAGCTACCTGATGAGGCAGTCTGCGGTTTTGCAATTCGGGGGGAAAGAGAAGATTGAAGGAAGGCCTGCATAATAGGATGTTATAACAGGAGCAAAAATCCATACATTTTACCCCAAGGTATAGACAATCATGACACCTTTCTGAAATATAAACCATAGCCATAATCGAACAAGTGTGAATGTATACACGAATTTGTATTTTAATGTTCAAGATTTCAAATCTACTGGATGTAATATACTTCCTAAGTACAAACACAAAATTCTAGAACCATTATGTTTAAGCAGATCCTCACTGCTTTTTTTTTTCCAATGGATCCTCTCAACTTACTTCAGTCTACTTTTTATTGACTTCTGCGTTTATTCTTCTCAGTTTTCGTGTAGGTTCTTGGCAGGATGAGGAAAGTGATAACTTACCTTTTCTAAAAAATACTTGTCCTGTTGGTTTTTTCTCAGCAAGGTAGGTCACAAGTTGAACATCGCCAAGCTCTAACATCGCATGGTTAGCAACCCCATCCAACAAAGCAACTGCTATTATAAAATAAAGTTAAGCATAGCAAGATAATTGGTAAAATGATTCCATCCACAGCAAAATATGCTATTCTATTATTAGCTATTATATTAGTGTTCCCTCCTACTTTCTGTTAAAACATATCTATTGACATCAAGTTGCGATCATATTGTTACACTTGCTTTTAAAATGATAGACACCATATTTATTTCCTGAAAACTAACTCTGTCTATTCCAGATACTTGAGTTTCCCCTTGCTCTACGCAATGTTCTAGCTGTTCAATTTATAATTCAATTGTCTCATACTTTAACAAAGGCTGGCGAGACTTTTGCACTTTAAACATACTACCGAAAGCGAAATCATACCAATCCTTCTCCAAGCTGTAGTGAAATGGGCAGAGCTTTTGCTACCAGAAGAATACACCTACATGTATTTAGACGTTAATTAAGATGTAGCATTGCATTATACCAATAAATTATAATTTTAGTACAGGCCAAAAGGAAAATCTTATATCGCTAATGTGAAGGACAACATGCACTCCCTCACTTTGTAGCATAAAGAGATTCCAAGAGAAATATGGTTTAACGCATGCCAACATTTTCTTTTTTAACAGAAAAAAAAAATCAGATCTTCAACATGTTAGATTGCTTGTATCTTTAGTATGAGAGTTTTTAACTTATAAAATCCAGTATAAGTTTTGCAGAAATGCGTCTCCACAAATTTACAAATCTCTGTGTAAAAAATCTAGATAGAATTAATACCTGAATGAGCCATGGCTTAGAATCTTGGAACTTGGACGCAAAGTCTTGAGACGTGATTGACATAAAACCTTCACGTTCAGGCTCTGAAACAGGTTTTACACACCAATGAGTTGGCATCGAAAATAAATATATAAAACAAGTACAAGAAATAGAATAGGAAATGTCAAAGAGATATATTGGTTAACTAACCATAAGAAACAACTTCCAGCAGGGGAAGTTTTATTTTCGCAAAATCTTCCACAGCATATTGTTTTTCAAGTTCCTCTATAATATGCTGCAACCAAGAAAAAAAGAATTGATTTTCGAAATGGGAAAAAAAAAAGACAGAAGAAATCTTCCTTCCTTTTCAGTTTGCTGCAAAAAAGAGAGTGAAGATAGAGAACAAACAACTTACTACTGATTCATCAATGCCGAATAAGTCATAGTCCCTTTTCCATACTAGATTTGTTAACAGCTCATATGCGTATTGTATCTGCATAATATAAAGTAGCAGTGATGGAATTAGAAGAAACGTTACACACATAAAAAGGCTAACAGAAGTAGCACTTATATAAGAAATGGACCAACCTTAATAAAATCAGCTGGAAGAGAATCTCCTGAACCTGAATCCCTGTCACGATCGGTTGTTACAATGTGTCAGCAACAAAGTTACTTAGAACACCTAAATTCTAGTTATCAAATTCAATTGGAATTACATTCCATTCCTTCCATGCCCAAGCCTACATATACTATCATCTAGCAATTAGTTATAAAAAAAACAAGTGCATACAATACTCGTGAGTGATTGTGGAGGCAGAATCATGGGGACTAAATCCAAATTCAAGGTAAAAACCAGAGAAACAAAAAAACAATTATCCAGATCGAGAAAGTTACCACTTAGAAGCAATAGTTTCGTACGCATCTTTCACGTCATCCACTGAACTGTACATCTTCACACCCAAAACTAGGAAATCCAAATCAAACGATCAAACCCGGAAGGTAATTGTAGCACAGTACATAGTCGAGAGAGAGAGAAAGAGAGCTTAGAGAATTGTGTACCGTCGTAGTGAGAAGGAGGGAAGGAACGAGGAAGAAGGAAAAGCTGGAAGAACATAGCGAGGACGAAGAGAAAAATAGGAACCGCGTAGGCTTTGAGACCGGAGGGTATCGACGTCGGCGACGACGACGGAGTTTCCTTCGCCATCGGGAATTTGGGAAACTCCGATCAAAGAGTGTCGATGTGTTTAAGTGTAATCTCCTTGGGATATTTTTCCGCGTTTTCTTAATTAATAATAGGGATCGACTCCGTAGATTTATTTATAAGTAAGTAATTTTTTTTTTTTTTTCGACGATAAGCAAGTAACTATACTACTCTTTTATGGTTAAAATCGTATCTTGATCTCAGACCTCAGCATTATACAGTAAAACCTTTATAAATTAATAACCTCTCTAAATTAATAAATTTTTTCCATTATTAATTTATAGAAGTTTTACTGTAAATCTCTCTTTTTCTAAAATTAAATTTTTAATTATATAATATGTTTCGGTTGCCAAACAATATTAGATAGTATTACGAATTTATAGATAACACCTCCAAAACCATTATATTATTTAAATAACTACAAATGATCAACTATCTATTTGACTATTTCCATGGTTTAAAATTTAAATACATTATTTAATACCTTATTTTGTGCAAACATATTATTTAATAACCTTAAAGGAAAATTGTGAAGATAAAACAAAATAAAACTGCAGAATCAAATTTCTCCATATATTGACCATCTATGGAAAGAATTTGACAGCTAAAACTTCTCTTCAACAACAACAGACAAATGAAGCACAAGGAACAAGTGCAGCTATAGGCAAACAAATTGCATTATGTTTGTTAGTATTTTGTATATCTCCTATATGTTTCTCGTAATCTTTCCAAGCTGCGATTCCCTTCGCTCATTGATTTTCCTAGCTCTATGGTTTGGTTTCCACGCGCATTCTTCGAATATCAAACTCGTCTACTGCCTCCAAAGGAGAAACTGTCTCGTTTCTGATCCTCTTAATCTTGGGGCTCAACAATCCCCTGTGGCTAAACCCATACAGCTTAAGCACTTGATTATCTGCAAAATTAAAAGCCCTCTCCATGCTCTTGAAGCATCTATCCACTGCATAATCAGCATACCTGCCACACGGTTTGCACCCCACAAAATGTGTCACAAAGGGCCATCTCTCATCTCCCAATCCTGGATGATACTTTTCTATCATCTCTTCATACCTATCAACCAAACCTTCCCAAAACCCGTGCAAGTAGTATTGATTCTCCACATAAACTTTCTCTATCCATTTATCCTTCTGCGAAAGCAAGAGATATATCAACGCCGATTGATCATCAGCCTCAAATGCTGGCCTGCCTTTCAGATAAGCTGTCAGTATCTTCCCAGCTTCGTCACGGATCGTCCCTTTTGGTCCCATTGGGGCCCATGCATCTAATAAATCTAATGACCACTGACAATTTCTCAACAGAAAGATACCCGTGTTTAATGCAACCCAAGACTTTTGGTTGAACAGCAAGTCCGGATAACCGTGTATCACCAGATTATGATTTTCATACCGAGGTAACGGGATCTCAAACAGTATATCAGTGAACAAAGCATCACTATCCATCCACCAAATCCATTCTACTTCTGGATGAGAAAGCATTAATGTCCTAATCATAGGTAATTTCGTCCAATACCCTGAGAGTTCCTCATCCAAATGCGCCATGTTATACACAATCTCTATCCCGTGGAGTCTACAATAATCAATCTTGTTCTTCACGGACTTCAATAGATAATAGTCTCCAATTGGTTTATCGCAGGGTCCCGGGGAAGACCCAGTGAGAAGCAATATTCGAGCTTTGCCATTGACAATACTAGGAAACTCAGGGTTCTGATTCAGCCATACCTTGCGTTGACTATCCCAGTTGGTGATTCTGGGCCCTAGAGTGTACGCCGCATTGGAACTAACCTCAGCTTTAGGCGGCTCATTCAAGTACGTCGCATTGGGACTAACCTCAGCTTTAGGCGGCTCAGCCAAGTCCGTCGAATGCGAATCAGATGGGATCTCCGCAAGAATCGGAATGGTTTCCTTGATGAAACTCTGATTAACAGAGTCGGCGTTGGAGCTTCCAAAGTTCCCAATACTGATTGTGCCAAGTAGGATGAGAATGGTCACGAAGCCGCAGAGAATCATGATCTTGATGTTAAATAAGGTATTCTGGATCTGCCAACCGCGCAAAAAACCACGGATTCTCCATCCACCGTTTGATACAGCAGTTGTCGATAGTCCTCCGCCACTTCCTGAGGATCTATACCCATCCTGAAACATTTCACTTGTTGCCTCCTCTGTCTCTAGATTTCACTCACAGGGAGAGACCTCCAGATGGCACTTGAATCCGGACACAGTCTAACTAATAACCATAATCAGTGAAGACTGTCTTTTTTTTCTCACAGAATGTGTAGATCCCACACTCTTTCCCTCTCTGAACTACACCGCTCTGAAATTTCAGATTTTTGGCAGGATCCTGATGGAAGACTAGAAATGATGGACTTGGACAATCTGAAGAGACTCTTTTAAAAATCATTAAAGAATATTAAATTGGATAATGGAGAAACGTGGTCGTAATTAAATATGTTTGATGTCGGAGAAAATGCTCCGTTATATGCATGCCAACATTTACCATCTAATTAAATGAAAAACAAAAACATTTAGCATCTTCAACATATGAATATTCATGCCAGGTTGCTTGGATATTTTGCAAGAGAGGTTTCAAAAGCATGCTGGGTACCTCAACAAACTTAAGCAACCCTGAGCATACATATAAAACAAGAACCATCCATGTATACACAAATGTAAACAATCTACTCGTATTACACCTATATCAGCCATGGTCTGGAACTTTTGGAAATTAAATGCATAGTCTTACAACGTAAAATGCCATCAAACCGTCACGTTGAAAGCTCTAAAAAATATAATAAGAACTAACAACTTGGATCCAAAACAAATCATGTAAACGAATTCATGAAATGGAATAGGAGGTGGTAAAGAGCTCAATTAGTCAACTGACCATAAGAAACGACTTCCAGCAGGCGAAGTTATATTTGCAAAATCTTTCACAACATTTTCTTTTTCAAGCTCCTCTATAACATGCTGCAAACCTGGAACCATTAAACAGAAGAAATGTTCATCCTTTTTCAGCATGCTGCAGTAAAACTACGAAAATAAGTAAAGATACAGGACTAACAACTTTTACTGCTGTTTCATCATTGCCAAACGTCATAGTCCCTTGTCTATATACGAGATTTCTTAACAGCTTAAAGGCATAGTGTATCTGCAAAACATTTAGTAGCACTGATGATATTAGCAGAAGGCTAGCACACAACATAAAGCAAACAGATTTAGCACCCAAAAAGACAAACACACACTTAAGAGAATCTCCTGAACCCGATAGAAATTGAGAGAATAAGTGTGAAGGATTATGGTGAAGAAGAAGAAGGACGGATGAATCCCTTTCATGGTCGAGTTTGAAAAACGTTGTTCAGGTTTGTCTGCAATGTACTTGCTACTTAGACCACCTAAAGTAAAGTATATGGTTCTAAAATTCAAATAGCCTACATATACTAAGATCAATACAGCGCGCTGATTTTTCCTAAAAACAAGGTGAAAAAGAAGATTTTCCTCACTAATTTAGTAAATTGCAACACCTGTGAGAGGGAAGAAAAGCTAGAAGAAGCTTTCACGTTAGCAGTTTAGCAATCAAGTCCCATTTCAGTTCTACTTCTACATTCAGGACCACAAAATAGCAACGTTAGCAGTTTAGCAATCAAGTCCCATTTCAGTTCTACTTCTACATTCAGGACCACAAAATAGCAACATGTTTCAACCTTTTTTACCCATGAATTATGATCATAAAAGTCACTAAATAAGCATTCACGTTCTTCTGGTTTTTATTTGCAGAAACCAATTACATACTTAAGCCCGTAAGAAATCACCATGGAAGGCCAAAGCAAACAGCAACTCATAAGTCATAACTAAGAATTCAACACTAGTTACGAAACACCAAACACAGTCACACACACAATAGAGATACTAATTTCATGACTATCTATGGAGTAGAAGTTAATCGAAGGTGGAATCAATCATGGGATTAAAACGGAAAACAGAAAGAAATTCAAACGAAATGACAAACCCGAAGTCAAGCGTACAACAGTTTACAGTCGGAGGTCATGGACGAAGACACCGGAGTTTCTTTCGCCGTCTTATTTAGCAATTTCCGATCAGTACAAATTCCGGTATAATTTTTCCAATCGAAAAAGAAGAATTTAACAACGAGCCCAAGATTACCGGTTCGGTCTAGTTTATTTTGAACCGAATTTAATTTCCCTTGCCGGTTCAAAAACCCAAAATTCTAGAGAGAGTACGCGAGATCGATCGATGGGGTCATCCTTCTCCGCCGCCGCCGCCGTTCCTCCTCCGTCGCCACCTTCATCGCCGTCACGCTCCAATGTAAAATCAAACGGAGAAGAGAGACCTCGTTTCTTCGATGGAAAGGCGAAGAACAAGTGCTGGGCTAATGCTGACACCGTACCTGGTCGACATCCCGAGAGGTGGCGTAAAGATGCCGCCGGTAACATCGTCTGCAAACGCTTCGGAAATTGCAACGGTTGTCTCTGTTTCGAGTATGATCACATTGTTCCTTACTCCAAAGGTTTGATTTTTTTTCTCATCTCTTCTCACTGCTTCCCCCGAATTGACATTTTGAAATTAGGGTCTTGATTGTTGTTTTTGTGTATATAGGTGGAGAGTCGATAGCTGAGAATTGTCAGATTCTTCAAACTAGAGTTAACAGATTCAAATCAGCTCAAGAAAATGTGGATGCCACCACTCTTAAGAGCTATTCTTGTGGTCTGCAATTTACGGGTATGTAACATATGCTAAGTAGCTAAGATTGGACAATCTTGATTGTGAATTATAGTTGATTATATATATTTCATGTAGAGATTAAGATCATCAAGTGTTATAGACTGTTCTTCTGCTAGATAGCTCAATTGCGAAATGGCCTTTCACTCGTTCTGTCTTTATAAAGTGTTTTGTTGAACAAGTTTGATCGTTACAAGTTATGCCAATCTCATACATGTGGGAGCTGCTTTTGCTTTAGATATCTTCTTTCTCTTTTCTCTGTTGGTTTGATCATATCAAGAATTGCTCTTGAGCCACTAGGAATCTTCTTTAAAAGCTAAAGCAATGCCGTGAATTGTTTTTAGGTTTTGCTAGTTTACATTTTAGAAGGAGTGAAGCAAAGTGTTAAATGCTCTTGGGAAATGCATTTTTCTTTTCAAAAAGACTCGAAAGAGTATAGATCTCTTGGCATGTTTTCTCCTCTTAACACAGTTACACTTATACACAAGTGGGACTCAAGTGTGTGTTGTGTGGCTACTCTCTGCATATTTGGTTTCACTTTCATTTCTTCTAATGTAAACATTGCAGACAAGGAGCTAGATATTATCGAGATGGCCGTTTATGGAGATGTGTTACGACCTGGAAAAGAATGTCGCTGCAAAACCGTAGCTGAGCTGCTTGGTCAGTCCAAGTCCAAAGATGGTAAAGCCGCATGTGTGTTACCATCATAGAAAGTAATCAACCATGTCTTTGTAAAGCTTTGATCCATCACAATCTTTTACAATACATTGGAAACCATTGTTTGTGTGAGTGGTAATGATTCTATACAAATTGGAAATAAAATTCAGCTTACATTAGTACCTAACTTTAAGTCAACAAATTGATTGTTAATATATCGACTACCTAATTCACTAGTCGAGAAATAATAGTTACTGTTACAATAGAGATCTTATGGAGACATGGAATATCAAAAAACGGGAAAGGTGCGCAATTATGTGTGAGCTATAAAAGAAAGATGTCTGCCAAAAAGTTAAAGTCAACATAAATTTTAGCTTTTTTTTTTTCCTTCTCTCTGATATTTAAAGTGTTTATATTTTCTTGATTGAATAGTGGAAAATTTTATCAAGAAAATATAGTAGCATTCAAATTCCAACAAAAAAGCTTTCTTTTATTAGTACCTAAATAAAATTTCAAAAATTGGTAGTTGTATCAATGGGTGTTCGAATTTCGGCTTTGAACAATAAATGCAGCTCCCACATATACACATATCGGCTGGTTGAAAACTCCGTTATCTCGAGAGTCACATGATATATGTATCCAACAATAATTCAAAAATTTAATGTGGAATAAGTATTGATTGCCCAAGGGTCAAAGCTCAAATCCCAAAGAATTATCTTACTCTAAAAAGGAGCATTTTGATACCACTTCGGTTATTAAACAAAAAAAATTCCGAAAATCGATCGATATAGTACAAGTACACACCAATACGAATAAGAAATTACATTAAAACATGTTATCGTATACTACTAACTATCAAGTATACATACACATGACAAGTGTGAGGTTTATAGTATGTTTTATAGTATAAACTACATACAATTATAAGAAATAAAAACAAATGATCGAAACTAGTCAACAACGACCCACCACCGTTTTTGGCCGTATTAGCTCACTCTCACACTGGTCGCCGCTAGTCAAACTCGTTCCATTGCATAATTAATCCTATCAATTTCGATATTTTCTTAACAATGTTAAGTCACTTTTAATTATGAAAAACACTATTATATCAAAGTGAACTATGTATATAAAGAAAAAAAAACAGAAGAAATACTTAAAACGGAAAATAAACAAGAGGGATCAATCAAGTCATCATTATTCATTGTCGATCGAAAAAATCTTGCCGTAGATTTCGCCTAAAACATTTCTATTTTTGATTTCACGACATTTACTTTTGATTTAAATGTTTAATTTATAAAGGACCGTCGTCTTCCGCAATTCACGCCGAAATCAAAAAGTCTAAAAAAAAAAAAACATTCTCTTAAGTTTTTCTCTCTGTATATATATTACGAAAAACGAAACAGCAATAGTTTCACTACTCACCGGAGATCGGAATTCGAATCCGGATCCGAATCACAGTAACCGGCGCCGGTTCAAAGAGATAATTCTGGTACACATGTGTTTTTGACGCGGAGGAGCAAAATTCTGGGAAAATGGGTTGTGTCAGCTCGAAGCAGACCGTCTCTGTCACGCCAGCGATCGATCACTCTGGTATTTTCAGGGACAATGCTTGTTCTGGTTCCGGTCGAATTGTGGTTGAGGATCTTCCTCCGGTGACGGAGAAGAAGCTTTTGTCGTGGAGGAGCAAGAGCGGGAAGAAGAGTGGTAGTGAGTTGGGGAGCGAGTTCGGTGAGTTGAGTGAGTCCGGTCGAGCGAGTTCGAATTGCAGGAGTGAGTCGGTGAGTTTCCGGCTCGGTAACTTGAGCAAGTACCTTGAAGCTGAGCAAGTCGCAGCTGGTTGGCCTGCGTGGCTGAGCAACGTCGCTGGTGAAGCTATTCATGGTTGGGTTCCATTTCGATCCGACGCTTTCGAAAAACTCGAAAAGGTTCCTTTTTTATACTCTCTGTACATTTGAAATGTTGTTGTCTCTGAAAATGAAATGGTTTTGTTTTTTGAAGATTGGACAAGGGACTTATAGCAGTGTGTTCCGTGCAAGAGAGACTGAAACTGGGAGGATAGTGGCTTTGAAGAAAGTTAGATTTGACAATTTTGAGCCAGAGAGTGTTAGGTTCATGGCTAGAGAGATTTTGATACTTAGGAGACTTAATCATCCCAATATTATCAAACTAGAAGGTATTGTTACTTCGAAGCTATCTTCCAACATACATCTCGTGTTCGAGTATATGGAGCATGATCTCACTGGTCTTCTTTCTAGTCCCGATATCGACTTCACTACTCCACAGGTCAATTTGACTTTTAGTGATTAAAAACGTCTTGCTCTTTTAATGAAAGGTTTTGTCCCGGATTTTTTCTAATACAATGACTGTTGCGTCTGGCCTTGCAGATTAAGTGTTATATGAAACAATTGTTGTCTGGACTTGATCACTGTCATGCACGAGGTGTGATGCATCGGGACATCAAGGGTTCAAATCTTTTGGTGAATAATGAAGGAATATTAAAGGTGGCTGATTTTGGGCTAGCTAACTTTTGCAATGCTTCTGGGAATAAGCAACCTCTTACAAGTAGAGTTGTGACTTTGTGGTACCGTCCACCTGAACTTTTGCTCGGGGCAACGGAATATGGAGCATCTGTTGATTTGTGGAGTGTTGGCTGTGTTTTTGCTGAACTTATTCTTGGGAAACCGGTTCTGCAGGGGAGAACTGAGGTAACCACAAATTGTTGTCTTGTAAATATATGTTACATGTAGCTTCAGACCTTTTGATCCTGTATGTTGCTCTGTTTTTTCTCGGGGAAAATATAACTCAAAGATTGCTGTTTCTAAAATGTATGCTACAGGTCGAGCAGTTGCACAAGATATTCAAACTATGTGGATCTCCACCTGAAGATTACTGGAAAAAGTCCAAACTTCCTCATGCAATGCTTTTCAAACCACAGCAACATTACGATGGTTGTCTCCGAGAAACCTTGAAAGATTTATCCGATGCTGACATCCATCTCATAGAAACTCTTCTTTCTATACAGCCCCACAAACGTGGGACTGCGTCTACTGCCCTTGGTTCTCAGGTAACCATTTCATCCTTCAGCTATTATTGTTTGAAGATTTGGAACTTTGATTTTCAGGAAGATGTTATTTTGTTGTATTGTCACATCTTTTAAAACATTCCGTTTGTTCGTTTCAGTATTTTACTTCAAAGCCTTTTGCTTGTGATCCCTCAAGTTTGCCTGTATACTCGCCTAGCAAGGAGATTGATGCAAAGCATCGAGAAGACACAACAAGGTCAGAATTTTATTCATTACCATCATTGTCACTATATCTTTCAAGAAAAATACAGTGAAAACACACAGTTTACCCGTGGGAATTACTTGGTTAATCTTAGCACCATAATTGTTTGGTCTTAATTTGAAGTGTCTGGTCCTACGTTATTTTGGAACTCCAGGAAAAAAATCAGCGGGAATGGGAGACGTGGTACAGAATCGAGAAAGCCAACACGAAAGCCCCCTGCATTTGCTAAATTGGCACCAGCTGAGGTACCTCTGATTTATTCTCTTGTTTACATACTATATGCATCTCTGAGAAGGGAATTACTTAAGCCAAAAAAAACAAAAAACAAAAACAAAAACTTTCTCCTTTCTCTACTTGCAGGATGTACGGCACCACTCCCAGAAGTTTCAGAAACGTAATGGTCATTCAGTCCATAATTCGATTGATAGTGATGCCATTTTATGTGAGAAAATGCAAAAGCCATCAAGTCATGAAAAGGATGAAGCTTCTCATGTGAAGAACGCATCACAAGGAGATGTGCCTTTCTCAGGGCCTTTGCAAGTCTCTGTATCAAGTGGTTTTGCATGGGCAAGGCGGCGAAAAGATGACATATGTGTTAGATCACGTAATAGATCTCTCTCAAGAGGTCACATTCCTAACCTGTTGGGACCTTCTCCTGCTTTCAGTGAGAATACTGACGTTGACTCTAAAAACAATGAGAAAGAAAAGGAAGAAAAACATGGGGAAAGAACGGATTCCCAAGACCGTGAGGCGTATGAGATGTTGAAGCTTTCAATGCTAAAGAAATGGAGGCAACTTGAACGACCAGATTCTTTTGATGGTTCTGACGAGTATCATTCACAGGAACTGTCATTGGCACTTTATCAGAAAGAAGAAAAGGCAGCAAAGCTGGGTCAATTGGTACGTCCGTAGATTATAGAAGTAAACTTTTTTTTGGAAGCTTATTACAGAAATTCCAGTTGATATACTAGCGACCAAGTATACTTAGGTTTGCACGTCTCTACTGAGAGAAATTAAGATCCTAGCTCAACCTTTCTTATGCCAATCTTAACTTATATAATAAATTGAAGTTATAATTATGTTAAGCTGTCTTGCTAATGGCAATGGTTTGGGGATCACGTGTACCCCCTATAAAGCAGTAAGATATGGATTTCAAAGCTTCATATTGATGTGATTGCTATTTGACTGAGTGTAGCTTTGTTGCTTTAAGTTCTTTTCCCACTTTTTATATTCACCTAAAAACTTGAGGGGAAAAAGTAGAACATGCATGATTTGCTTAGTCTTCTTTTAGGACATTTTGAAAAAAGATACTCAATGATGCTTAATGATTTAAGACCTTGACAGGGTTACGAAGACAATGATGACAAAATCGAATTCTCAGGGCCATTGTTGTCTAAATCTTATGGAGTTGATGAGCTTTTGGAATGCCATGAACGCCAAATTCGCCAGCTAGTTAGGAAATCGTGGTTCCAGAAAGGTAAAAACATGATGCTAATAGCTAACAAGAAAAAGAGATTGTTTTATGATTAACTGTGATGGGCAACAATTGTATGGCTTTGTGAATTGCAGGTAAGAAACAAGGGAAATGAATTGCTCTGTATTAACCTTTCTGAGTCATGAAAAGCTTTCCAAGGGATCCAGAAGAGAACTCCAAGAACTCTATATGCATTTTGATGGTTTGAGAAACACAACGTTAACCAGATCTTACGACAGAAACTGTGATGATCAAGCAAATATGGCGAAAGCCATGAAGCATTATTTTTGTTTGTTAATGTTAATTTATAATATAATCTTCTCTAATAAGTTAAAATTTTGAGAATATAATAACTACAGCGCAATTTATGAATTCCAGGCATAATGTAATAATGTATAGTCATAAGCATATCTATAAAATATCCAGTTGTATAAAAGATCTGGATATTTGTTATACAGAAATTATTGATTTTGTCCAAAGTTGAGACCCCATCTCGTTTAGTGATGTGTGGTGGTCATTGGTATTTAACGATGTCTCGTGACGATGGTGTATGGAGTGATGTTGGATTATGACGCTTGGTGTTATCATCTTCTTTCATTGTGTATCATCAAGATGTGACACATTATGTTCTAGTTATATAATCTGTGCACTCACCATGTGTCTACTGATCAGAATTTGAGAATCTCTAAATATTAGTCAATCTCAAACAATGTAATAATGACAGTTTGGTTTTAAGGAATTAGTCACCTGTTTCCTCTAAGCTTCCAGATTTGATAAAACAGTACCAACTTAACAAACTGTATCTAAAAAGGGATATAATTTTCAAGAATCTTTCATTTTTCATTTTTTTCTTTTTTTTGCTGCAGTTGCATCATGAAGAATATGGTAATTAAGTAAAATACACTGGCAAACAAAATCCACAACAATGGATCCGACAAAGGATGATAGTGATCCTACATGGATCTCTATCTTATGTATTCCTTTAATCATGAATAATGTTTTTGTCAACCTTCTTATGAACAAGTTTATCTCTGTAGTTTAATCGGCAATACAATGCCTTGATGATGCTAGTTCATTGCATTCTGCATCCTCTTTCTACTGATCGGAGATATATCAGCCCGCGCTTTATTCTCTGCAACAAGAAGTTTCAACAATCAAAAGAAAAGGACTGGTAAAACTATGAGATTTGTCGAGGCAATCTATACTAGCCGATAATCAAGTACCTCTCCCGTATCCTGAAGCCGAAGTAGTTCCAATCTTTCTGAAGGTCTCCTATCTGTCAATGTAGCAAGCTGAGGCAAAAGAACTCATTGAGCAACAATTCAACAGAAATGAATATATATGGCAAGAGTTGTGTGTTTTGCTGATAAACAACATTACCCAGAAACTGAAGCGTTCAGGATCTTGAGGCGTTGGTATCATAGATTCAACATTTAGAAGTATTTCAAGTCTTCTTCTGTCTGTAAAAGCAAAGAAAAAGGAAAAATACTAACATCATGTCTAAAATAATATGAGTATGCCAGTGGCACAACTATCAATCGATTACGGTCATAAAACAGAAGCTGGTAACTATTAGAGTATGAGATAGAGATCCAACTGCCGTGCAAATACTCAATACTTTGCTCTAAATCAATCATAAAGACAATTGTTGTTGATTCATAGATAGTTTTATTAGACGGTCGGGAAAGACATTGATAACCAGAGATTTGAAAGAAACAGCAGGTGAATTATTGGTCTATTGAATTGTTTTACTTGTTATAGGCTTATAGCTAGGCTGGAAATATCAGAACTCATGAGTAATTCAATTCCCTTTCTCAGCTAAATGAATAGCTGCTTACCTCCTTGTCTAGCTGCTTCCTTTGCTCTATCTAGCCATGAACGAGCAAATGATGCTGCGCTGGTCGTCAGGTCCCGCAGCTTTAAGAAGTAACAAAGAAAGATGATGAAAAAAGAGAAAGGAAATAAATTCACTCAAGTAACAGCAGAGAAAAATCATACATCTGCTTTCCCTTGCTCGCTTTGTGGTGGTATATCTGTCACCCATTCAACTTCTGCAACACGATACCTGAAAAGCAAAAAGGGTAATAAGAAGCTAAACATTTTTGTGTCTGTATATGCTGAAATGAAAGAACGTATATGAAACAAAGTCAGACGATCGTGTTCACAAGAAGATCCAAAATTAAATATTTGATCTTCACACAACTTGAAACATAAAGGAAAAATTTAATTTGGTAACATGTATATCAATCACATCCGACACGAAAACGGATAGATTGTTTAAAAAACATGCGAATATTATCAAGTGATCAAAATGACAAAGCTTACCCATCTTGATCCCATGCTTTTACAATGCGGCACCTTCTATGGCTTTCCAGCTGCAGAAAGCATATACTAAGTTAATGATTTGACAACTTACATATGAAAAGTACCCCAAAACTATAATTCTATAGATTGACTATGTTACGGCATCAGAGATTTAGTCGATTAGATCTAAGTAATATGGGTTTAAGAAGAAGTAATGAAAATGATATTCACCTCCAGGACAAAACGCCCATCCGGGAGTGGATCACACCTGTGTAGTTCCAAAACATCAGCAGACTTTGTGTAAGTTATTGTAATTTAAAATCATCAACTGAAGGACATCAAATATCATCAGAAAGAAATAAGCAACAGACTCTGTGATTTCAACTTCGCAAGCAACATCCACGGGAGAACCTGTCGCAGAATCAAGAGCTACCTATGGACATTGGAACGGGCAAACCTTACTAGTTAGGAACCTTTTACGAATGTATAGTGAAGAAGAAAGAAGAAAAAGGACATAATACCCACCATTCCCATCCGATGATTTCCTTCCATTATTCTTCTCACCTGTTTCAGTCAACACATATTAATCAATGTGCTTAGTGCAAACAGTACTACTGCAGTGGATAAAGTGGCCATAAAAGTTTCCATCTATTAGCGCTCATTTAGAGACCACTTTCTCTTTTCCTCACTTCACTTTCTTGGGTTTTTTTCTTTTCTTAAAATGAGTGTCCGTGTCTTTATGAAGACTTTAAAATATAAACAACAACTTGTACAGTTTAAGATCATTTAAAAAATTTGTCAAATCGAGCCGAAACAATCTTTACACTAAACGAGTATTCAATCTCTGCAAAGAGTAGGCCACTTAAGTTCTAAAATGTACATAACCGAAAAAACTTGTAAGAACTCACCATTAGTCGATATCGTGGTTCAAATATGTGAAGAGACAACTTCTGACAGGGGATGATCACATCCATGACGAAAAGGGGCATACTTTCATTGCCTAAGTGGACCAGAGTGTCTTGCTCTGATTTCCTTTCAGCATACTCCTCTGGAAAGTTTTTCTGTATGATGTTATTCAGTGTCACACTGCCAACACATAGTTGCTTCAGTAGAAATTTTTTAAAACACACGCTACAGTTACATATTTAGTAGCATGGAGCTATAAGGAGAATAGAGAGAGTGAAAAAGATTTACCTGACAGCGCATGTTCTTGGGGTCATAAAAATGACAGTTCGACATAGCGGACATTTGTTGCCTAGATTCCACAAAGCATTAATAAACAACACAATAGTAAAAGAAGAAGTTTTCCAGGAGTTAACAACAATCAACCATATAAACCCACCGCGATCCATTGACTGAAAGAGGCATGATCGGCAGAATGTATGCCCACATGGAGTTGTAGCAGGTTCGTACAGCAATTTCAGGCAAACAGTGCAATCAAAGTCATCAGACCGCTCAGCCTTTCCATGGGTTTTACGCATCGAATTAGGCATCACTTTCTCCAATTCCTGAAGATTGGATCGGAGAGGATCGCTTCATGCGATCAGGAAAATTCCAAACTTAAAAACGACACATTCAGTTAGGCATCAATACATAATAAAATAACAGTACACATAGATGTACCTAAAGGGATCAATCTGTAGACCAGAGAGGATAGTGTCACGTGCTACCTCATATCTTTCTAGCTGCAGAATATATTAAAAATTAACACATGTGACATGAAGTAGACCGAGAAACTCTTGATAGTACATTGACATAAAACAAAATGAATCTAAAGAGAATAACTCAGCACATACCAACATGAGGGCACAAGCCTTTGTATTATATGACTTCACTGAACTGCTTTGAAGATTCATCAGCTTATCAGCATCCTTAAGAGCAAGCTGCAGGAAATATCAAGTTTTCTAGGATGAGTCAGAAGAGTCAATGAATTTCGCAATTGCTAGTAACATGTTAAGCAACTAGAATACATACTTCCCCAAGCATCGACATATCAAAACCATTCAGAGGTTTATATTCAGAAATTGATGCAGATCTCTGCTTCAGATATTGGCCAAATCTATAGATAAAAAGGTTGAGAGATGGAGATAGATTAGATTATGTCAACACGGTTAAATACTTCTAAACTGAGTAAAAAGGCAAAACTAGTTACACAATCCAATTGCTTATATTGAAACAACATGACAACTCCGTTGGAAGTAAAAAGGACGGCATCGGGTTTGTGAAACCTTACCTTATATAAGCAGCACTTCTATTGCCAAGAACAATAGGGTCAAGGGGTTTAATAGAATTGGCCTTTGAATAACTGCTAATTGCCTGGGAAAATAAGAAGCTATGTTATTGGCAAGAACAAGAGATTTATCCGTCTCATTTGGGTTTCAGCATCAAAGCTTTAAACTACCACGAATTTGCAGAATATTCTACTGTTGATAAGCAGTTATCGCCAGTTCAAAGCCAGAATTAAAGATGTTATATATGACTAATGCAACCAAGAAACTATTCCACAAGTAAACTACACCAAGGAGCTACAAGATATCCAAACAAACAAAAAAACATAGCCCAAATCAGTTTTATTGAAGGAATTAACACTATGTATCACCATGTTTTGCTACATATTGACTCTTTTAGTCTCAAGAACCAATTTTCTCACTACTCTTTTATCTCAGGCAAGCCCTAAATAAAGATCAAAAGAGCTGTCACCTCTTCAAAGCGTGACTCTTTGAATGATTGGTTTCCCTTCTCCACAAGTTGAAAAACCTGATTGTGTATATCTAAAGGTAACGAATTGTCTGCTTCAGTGACCTGGAAAATATCAATCAAGCAAGAGAATTGAGACAATAACCCTAACGAAAATCTCAATCAACAATCGGAAAATAGAACATGCATTGCTAAAATCGCAAACACTCTTTATCGAAAAAGCAATCCCAGTAATCGGAGGACTCACCAGACCGTAATTTTCGACATCATCCAAACCAAACAAAGTGAATGCCGGAAGAGAATCTTCGTTCGACATCTGAGTGATCGATCAACGGAAGAAATTCCAGAAAACTGAAAAAGGTTGAAACTTTGGGGAAAGAAATTGATGATAGCAAAGAAAAAAATTGACTATCGTGTTCACTTCTGGGTCCTTGGTTTGCAACCACGGATTATAAACCTCTACGTGGTTATTCTCTCTCCAAGCTTCACACTTTTTTTTTTTCTTCAATCTCTCTCTCTCAGCTCAGTCACTAAAGGTGAATCCTTTTTGTTTGCCAATCTTCTTCTTCCTGATTTTTGGGTCGGAACACAAAGCTCACCAGAATTCTTTGCTAGATTATTTTACATTTAACAATTTATTAAATTTCGTTACATTTTTAGTGGAAACGAGTCGAACCAATTATATAATTAACTAAACTCATTTTTAGTAAATTTTATCTTAATCCTACTTACCAGGTGGCATTTTCACTTTTATTTATTTACTTCAATTATTTGTAAGGTACAACCCAATTTCTCAAAAGGTAATACAATTAATAATTTAATAGTAAATTTTACATTTTAGCTTAGTTTTTGGCTAAAATAAAAATTAGTTCTATTTGTAATTAAGTTTTTCTAAACGAAAATTTTCTTTATGTTTTTTTTTATATATGAAAAATATATAAAAACAACTTAACTTGATCTATTTCTAAACCAAAAAAAAAAAAAAAACTAAAATTACAAGCCTTCAAAACAAAATTACATGCTTGATCTATTAAAAGATCTGCATGCATCCATTGCTGATCCTAGTTTATGGTCAAAAACAAAATTTTGCAGAAATTAAATCCAACAAAGAAAAAAAAAAAACTCGCTAAAAATTCGAGTCCGTCTAGTAATGGAAAATTATAATCCATACAGTAGGAGTTGATGTAATTCGTTACTAATGTAGAATTTCTAATTATTTTAGGGGTCAACTACTAATGTAGATGCTCTTAATTTCTAAGATACGTAGATTTCCTTTTCTGATTCTCTTCTTCTAATTGTTTCTACAAAACAGAGAAACTCTCGCGGAGAAAGTTGTCTTCTGACTCTTCTCCTAAACCAAAACACAAGAGCTTCTTAACCTAGGAGGAACAATATATTGATTCGTCTCTCTCTCTCTCTTGGTAGTCTTGTGTCTATCTACTACAGAGAATGTATAGGGCTTCATATCATGATGGTTTGAAAACTTATGGGAGAGATTTGATTAAACAAGCAGAGAAACTTGAAGCAGAGACAAGGAGATAAAAAGAGTAGTTAGGATTCTGTCAAGGAGAACGAAGAACAATCCTATTCTAATCGGAGAAGCAGGGGTTGGCAAAACTGCTGTGGTGGAAGGTTTGGCTCAAAGGATATTTAACGGAGACGTGCCGAATTTTCTTACTGATGTAACACTCGTTGCCTTGGACATGTGTGCACTGGCTGCTGGTGCATCCTACCCAGGACAATTCGAAGAAAGATTGAAAGATGTGTTGGAAGAGGTTAAGGAAGCTCAAGGCAAAATTGTTCTCTTTATCGATGAGATCCACATGGTTCTTGGTGCTGGCGGGGCCATAGAGGCTGCCAATTTCTTTAAGCCTATGTTAGCTAGAGGCCAGCTTCGTTGCATTGGGGCTACTACGCGTGACGAATACTCAACATATCTTGAGAAAGATGCTGCGTTTGAGAGAAGGTTCCAGCAAGTCTATGTAGCTGAGCCAAGTGTGCCTGAGACTATCAATATATATTCTTAGAGGGCTTAAAGAGAAATATGAATTACATCATGGTGTCTCTATCCAAGACACAGCTCTTGTTGTTTCTGCTCAGTTGTCTGCTCGTTACATTACTGGTAATTTCTTTATATATCATGCATCCTTGTTTAATTTATGTTATTCTCTCTCTCTCTCTCTGATAAGTTGTTATATGTTTTGTGTGTGTGCTTATTAATTAGGTCGAAAATTACCGGATAAGGCTATTGATTTGGTTGATGAGGCTTGTGCATATGTAAGAGTCCAGCTTGATAGTCAACCTGAAGAAATTGATGACTTTGAAAGAAAGAGAATGCAGCTAAAGATAGAACTTCATGCCCTCGAAAAGGATAAGGACAAAGCCAGTGTAGCTCGTCTTGTGAAGGTAACTTATATTCTCGTGATCTTTATTTATATACGTTGGTCTGTTTTGTAGCTGCTTAATTGTGTAACCTATAATTTCCCTTTATATGTTTTTATATATGCAGGTGCAGAAAGAGCTTGATGACTTGAGGGACAAGCTTCAGCCTCTTACATTGAGATACCAAAATGAGAAGAAGATAATTGATGAGATTCGCAAGCTTAAACAGAAACGGGAAGAGCTCATGTCTGCTCTAAAGGAGGCTGAGAGGCAACATAAGCTCCCTAGAGCTGCTGATCTAAGATATGGGGAAATTCAACAAGTGGAATCTGGACTAGCAAAACTAGAAGAGAGTTCTAAAGAGAACCTAATGCTTACGGAAACTGTTGGGCCGGATAACATTGCTGAGATAGTGAGCCAATGGACTGGGATTCCAGTGACTAAACTTGACCAGAACGACAAGGAGAAGCTAAATTCTCTTGCTGATAGGTTACACCAGAGGGTTGTTGGACAAGACCAAGCGGTGGACGCTGTGGCTGATGCAATTTTAAGGTCGAGGGCTGGACTTGGACGTCCACAACAACCCACTGGTTCCTTCCTCTTCCTCGGTCCAACTGGTGTTGGCAAAACTGAGCTAGCTAAGGCTCTCGCTGAGCAACTCTTTGACGATGAAAACCTTTTGGTTAGGCTTGATATGTCAGAGTATATGGAAAAATACTCGATTACTCGACTCATTGGAGCATCACCTGGGTAACTTGCTAGACAACTCCTATGTGGATCAAATGCTATAATGGAAACTCACATGATTGTCTTACTCTTTTTAGGTACATTGGTTATGAGGAAGGTGGACAATTAACTGAAGCTGTGAGGAACCGACCTTATTGCGTTGTACTATTTGATGAAGTTGAAAAGGCCCATGTTTCTATATTCAACATACTACTTCAAGTGCTAGACGAAGGAAGATTAACAGACTCGCAAGGGAGGACAGTCGATTTCAAAAACTCAATGATAATAATGACTGCAAACATTGGTGCTGACCACCTTATCTCAGGCCTTACAGGTGAAGTGACAATGCAAGTGGCTCAAGACCGCGTGATGAAAGCTGTGAGAAAGCATTTTAGGCCAGAGCTACTAAACAGATTGGATGAGATAGTGGTGTTTGATCCTCTGTCGCATGAGAATTTGAGAAAAGTGGCTCAGCTCCAAATGAAGAATGTTGTTATCAGGCTAGCTGAGAAAGGTATAGCTTTGGATGTCACAAATGATGCATTGGACTACATTTTAGAAGCTAGTTACAACCCGGTAAACCTCTGATCCCTGCTTCTCACTTAAAAGTATGTTATGCTTAAGTTGTTAAATGTTGTATGATTATATATATATATATAGGTGTACGGTGCTAGACCCATTAGGAGATGGCTGGAGAAGAATGTTGTCACAGTCCTGTCGAAGATGATTGTGCGAGAAGAAATCGCTGAGAACTCGATTGTGTACATAGATGTAAGCGCAGTAAAAGCTGGTCTTGTCTACCGAATTGGTAAGACCGGAGGTTTTGTTAATAAGAAGTCAAAGAATGGTGCACAAAACAAAAGAAAAAGAAGTCAAAGAATGATGAAGGTCACATCGTGAAGAAGATAAAGATTGAAGAACGATGAAGAAAGATTGGAAGTTAATCCATATTGTTTTAGACCCTAGTTTTTTGGTGTTAGTTTGAGTTATTCAACTATTCTACAAATAGTAATCTTACGTAATTTATAGTCCAGGTTAGGACGTTTAGAATTAGAACAATCCGTAATTTTGACTATTTGATATAATAAAAGTACTTTCTTCAATTTGAATATTTGGTTTTGTGAATTAGTCATTTGATCTTGTTTTTTAGCCTCATCAAAAGAGTGAATCTTTTAGCCTCAACTTTTATGTAACTATAGAATCGTTGACTGATGGTTCCTATTAACTGGAAACAGAAAGAATCCAACGGCTATGATGGGATTAAATGATCCACCGCTCGATGTGGGAAGGATCCAACGGACATAAAAGGATTGGATGGTACGAAACAGATAATGCCGCACGGCTACACTCACTCTTCATAACCTTTAGATGGTGCGGTCATTAATACATATTGACTATGAAAATTAATTTCCTTTTTTGTGTAGATGAAAAATGTCTTAGAAGAAAATATTTTTTGGAGCTACCTTAACTAAATAGTAGTAATGTAAGCACTAAAGGCTATTTTATTGGCTATTATTATTTAAAATAAAACAGTCCATTCTTTGCTCATATAAATATAGTTGAGTATTTCTTTTCCCATTTTCTAACTGATTATGTATTTAGGAGTAGAAAGACTGTAATAAGTAATAAGACATCATTTTTCTGCAGGATCTAAGCAACAAAAAAGGCATTTCTTTTTCACTGTCTTCAATGCAGTGACTCTCTTTCTCTCTCTTTATTCACACCTCTTGTTACCTTCAAAACCTTCTCTCAATCTCCTCCATTATCCTTCTCCTTCTCTCTTCCTGCAACTAGCTGAATCCAAAAGTGCTTGGTTCTGGTACAGCGACCATGGCAGTTGTTGTTCTTGCTGTGATTTTGTTGGCCATGGTTGGTCACTCAAGTAAGAATATCTTCTTCTCTATTCAAACCCTGCAAAGTTTAAATAAAATAATCCTTCTCTGTCTCATATAGATCCTCTTCTTTTCTTTTGACGGGAAAAAGATTCTTCTTTTTTTTTCGTTATTTTCTTTCTCCCACTCTGTTTTAGAACAGAACACAGTCTCAAACTTCTTAGCTTTCATAGTTTTTAATGAAATTTTCCACAAATAAGGGCCATTTTTGCTTTTACCAATACCTTCTTTTCATAAAAAGTTGTTTCCTTTTTGACTGTGTAGTTCAACAATCTTGTTCCCTCTTGAATTACACATTTAGGTTCCATTTCACACATTGTCAGTGAATGAGATTCGAAGAATGGTCATGAAAGTGTTTATGTATGTATGTATAGGTGGGACATGGTGTGTATGCAAAGAAGGGTTAAGCGAAGCAATGCTGCAGAAGACATTGGACTACGCATGTGGTGCAGGAGCTGATTGTGGACCCATTCACCAGACCGGACCTTGCTTTAACCCTAACACCGTCAAGTCTCATTGCTCCTACGCCGTCAACAGCTTCTTTCAGAAGAAAGGTCAGTCTCCGGGCACTTGTGACTTTGCTGGCACAGCCACCGTCTCAGCCTCTGATCCTAGTGAGTCTCTCCTACCAACTTCTCCGCCTTTATTCATTTTAATTAGTGCAAAAACAATTTGTTCACCTTTGGTAACTTAACTAGGTAAAGTTAAAAGCAGTAGTTGAAAAATGGAACCCAACTTGAAAGCAAATCAGAAAGGATAGTTTATATTAATCTTAACTTCACATGTTTCAATGTGAATGATATGATAAATAAAGTATCCATTATCTTATTATATAGTATCACACCTCAAGATTCTCCTCTATACAGATTTGAAACTAGATTGTGGAACTTATCTCTATTTTTTATAAGTAACTAACTCTTGTATCATTGTGGTCTTATGATAGGCTACACAACTTGTCCTTTCCCTGCAAGTGCCAGGTACAGATCGTTCTTTCTTTCTTCACTCCTTATTTGTTGTTTTGAAACAAGAATTGGCTTTGATCTTGAGGCTCGTTGCACTCTAGCTAGATCTTTGTTTAGAGCTGATTGCTACAATCTAAGAGATGTGTTTGTATGTTTGTTGTTCTATGCCATTTAATGCAGTGGTAGTGGGACAACGACTCCAGTGACGACAACACCTTCGACAAGAGTCCCTACAACAACTAATACAAGACCCTACACAATCACACCATCAACAGGAGGAGGTCTGGGAATACCATCTGGAACAGTCGGTATTAACCCGGATTACACAGATCCATCCTTTGGATTCAAACTCCAAAACCCAAGATTTGGAGTCATAGTCTTCTTCACTCTCTTCTTACCCTTCTACTTGTTTAGCTAACTAAGTGATTAATGGGATCATGTGAGTCGTGTGGGTCTCTTTCTACTGTAATGATGGAATCTTTGAAGAGAGAGACATTGTTTTGTTCCATCTTTGTCTGGTTTTCCAGCTGTTTCCCACTTGCCTCTGAAAAAAAATTGTACATGAGACATATATATTTAAGGCTATGTCCACCGGAATGGTAACGACGGGGTAACAGAACAGAGCAGACACTTACCGGTCTGAATTGACTGGCAATGACTAACCAGCCAAACCAAAACGAAACGTAAAAGAACAACTTTGACGGTTTAGTTAAACTAATAAAGGGCAAAACTGTCATTTTGACGGTTGATCCATGTTTTCACCAACCAAACAACACTCTTCTCAGTGACTTTTTTTTTTTTGTTTTTTAATTATTATTGATCGATCATCCAAAGCAGCAGCCGAAGACGACCGCCGGCGATTTTTCCGGTTGGTAATTGTTCTCGTCTGATCTTCTTCCTCACGGTACAGATCTCAATCGTATATCGTAAAGCTCTCTTTCTGTTCGGGTTTTGATGTTTCGGTTTCTACTTAGCCATTTGATAGATCACGTGGATTCCCTCTACATCCATTGCATCCAAACGTTACATTGGATCTCGTTCACTTCTCAGTTTTTTCTGATGAAATCTTTATGAGTTTGATTATCTGTTAGCTAATTCGACCAAATTGTGCGTCTTTGTAAATTTAGTTTTTTTTTTCTTTTTCATTTCTAAGATTCATAAAATGTCTTCCTTTTTTTTTTTTTTTCCCCAGATGTTGTGAGTAATTATTCGACACTCTTGTTTTCTTGTGGTTTGTTTGCAGCTCCTGTTTCAATGGAAGCAATAGCTACTTCAAGGGTTGTGCCAGTTCAGCTTCCCTGTAGAAGACAGCTCTCTTCACTTTTTGCTAATTCGTCTTGCATTGAGTTAAGGAGATATCCTTGTAGAGGTCTTGTCTCGATCATGCACCATCCCAAATTGCTTCGTCCAGTGACTGCTTCTGTGCAGCCACAAGAGTTGTCGGCTTTGGGGAACGAAAGCAACGTTGTTCCTTCTAAAGGTAAACTACTACTACTCATTGCTTTAGAATCTGTTGTATTTGGATTTAGGGAATAACATCTGGTACATGGTTGTGCAATTGAGAATTCTTAGAAACTGTTTTGAGCTTTTCAATTGTTTATAGATTGCTGAGTTTCTTTCTACTGTTGGTTGTTGGTTTTATAAATTGCTAGAAATTCTTGATCTTTGGCGAAGTGTTGAAGCGGTATGTTTCGATGTGGATAGCACGGTTTGTGTGGATGAAGGTATTGATGAACTTGCTGAGTTTTGTGGAGCTGGAAAGGCTGTTGCTGAATGGACTGCCAGGTTTGTGGTCCATCTCAACGCATATATATGCTAAAGCTCTGATGAGTTTTTTTTTACGTAAACATATCGAGTATTGCTTTTCTTAGAGCGATGGGTGGATCTGTTCCATTTGAAGAAGCTCTAGCTGCAAGACTTTCTTTGTTCAAGCCTTCTCTTTCAAAAGTTGAGGAATATCTCGAAAACAGACCCCCGAGGTATTGTTTTTGTTTACAGTTACTTCCCCTTGATTCACTCTGCTAAAGAAATCGTTTCACAAATAAAGATAGATTTTACTTGTAAGTGTTCCATTGGCCCCAGTTCTTGTCTTGAATTAGACTTTGACCAATATAGAGGTTAACATCTAGCTTGCTTGATTCTCTGCATAAGTCCAGATTGTTTTCTGAAATGTGTTTTAATAGTGTGTTTCTTTGGATTGTGTAGGCTATCCCCTGGCATTGAAGAGTTGGTCAAGAAACTCAGAGCCAATAATATTGATGTCTATTTGATATCTGGAGGTTTTCGACAGATGATCAATGTACTCTTCTCTCTCTCTCACACACACCTGTTTCTTCATATTCTTTACTATGGCCTAATGCATCAATTCTTGTGTAGACTACTCAATCATGGTGATAAGGTTTTGAATGAATTTCTTTTCACTGTAGCCTGTAGCATCGATTCTTGGCATCCCTCGGGAGAATATCTTTGCTAACAATCTTCTATTTGGAAACTCCGGCGAGTTTCTGGGCTTTGATGAGAACGAACCTACATCAAGAAGTGGAGGCAAAGCCAAGGCTGTGCAACAAATACGAAAGGTTCATCGAACGTTATTAATTTGCAAGCTACATATCTCTTGTTAAATACAACACTTTGTACCAATGAGACTTGGTTCTTTCCAGGGTCGTCTCTACAAGACTATGGCCATGATTGGAGATGGTGCTACTGATCTCGAAGTAAGCTATTATCTACTGAGAATTTGCAGATAACGATGAACTCTCAAATACTGTCTGAGTGACTAAGGTAATTCACTTGCAGGCACGTAAACCTGGTGGCGCAGACTTGTTCATATGCTACGCCGGAGTTCAGCTTCGTGAAGCCGTTGCAGCAAAAGCAGACTGGCTTATCTTTAAGTTTGAATCTCTCATAAACTCATTGGACTAAAAGATAGTGATTATTCTCGTTTATCTAAACTCATTATTCATATCTCCAAATTTGTACCCTTTTTTTATGAATTTGTGTGAAATACCATTGAATCAACAAATGTTTTTGCCAACTTTAGCCGCTTGATATGTTTGTTCAAACATCAAGAGCGTTGTTATAACAAAATAGTGGTCTTTGTGAAGAGAAAATTAAACCACAGACTAATCAATCTTGGTGGTAGACATTCCTGGATGCCCAGTTAACGAACAAAGCCATAGCCACCACCACCAAATCCACTGCGACCAAATCCACCGCGACCAAATCCACCACGACCACCACCATAACCTCCCCTTCTTGCAAAACCACCCCCACCCCCACTGCCACCACCACCTCCTGAATCAGCTGGACTCACTCCAATTATTCGCCCATCAAGCTCCTGTTTAAGCAGGAAACTCTATAAATGGCAGATTGACAAATCAAGCAAAGAAAGAAAGAACAATCCCATTGGTTTCTGAAGCAGTAACATGGTACCAAAACATTACTCTTTCTGTCTAAAGAATTGAGATAAACAAAGCAATAAAAAGAATGGTTTAATTTCGCATTCTGATTCTTTACGAAAAGTGTTTATTATCAAACGAGAGAGACAGGAGTAGCATTACAAGCTAGATGACAAATGATAATATACAGACTACTGTACTAGAAACAAACTTATGTGACAAAGTCAGAAGATTTTAAGGTGTGGAAAGAAAATAAAGTGAGAGAGAAATTAGACGCATGGCATGATATTTAGCAACCAAAAGAAGCCGGAAAATTGGTATCACCTTATTATGCATACATTGCATTGCGTTATTAGCATCTTCGATCGAATCATATGTTACGAAACCAAAGCCCCTTGATAAACCACTTTCACGGTCCAAAACCACCACCGCTGCGAAGAGCAAAGAAATATTTTAGTCAGCAATGAGAAGAAAAAACCAATGGAAAAATGAGACAGCTGCAAAAACGATAGCTACCATCAACAATTTTTCCAAAACTGCCAAAAGCTTCTTTCAAGAGCTCCACATCAGTAGCTGGTGAGAGGCCTGGAAAAAAAGCACCATATAACAGAATGAGACCCTTAAGACCACCAAACACTCAAAAGAGAAAACTCTCTATGAAGAATCAAGAGAAAACAGAAGTTTTGGAGTCTCACCTCCAACAAAGAGTTTGGATGGAGTTAATGAAAGATTGCCCTGTAACATAGCGTTTGAGGCCTGCAACGCTCTAGGCTGCCTAAATATGTTTCCAGCCCTACTAAACAAACCCATGTAATGCATCTTCTTCAATCTGTAAGCACATTTTCAAGAAGACAAAATCAAAAAGAACAAACTTTAGAATGTAGACAGATTGGTGATCGATCACAAGGTGAAATCTTATGGAGTAGATCTGTTTCAGACATTAACGTTTTCCGGGTAGAATCAAGAAAGCAGTAATCTATAAGAATCGAGTCAACAAAAGCTTACAACTTTAACTCACTAATCTCGTTCCTGATGAATCCATCTATTAGCATCACTCAGAACAGAGAAATGAAACACAGACAAAACACATGTAGGATCCAAATCAAATTCTCGAGTTGGTAAGAGACGCATAGACAAGGAATTGAGGGAAATGAAGCAACTAGAAAGAGAAAGATCTAGCAAATGAAACTTTCAGAAAATACGATCGAACTCGGAAATCAACAGAGAATTTTACGCGAAAGCAATTGATTTTACACACCTTTTGGGTGAATGATGATAATCTCTGGGTAGTGAGAAACCCCCAACGTTTTTCAATTCTCTCGCTCAGTAGTGGAAAAACCCTGACTTTATTATGTAAAAGAAAGACTCCGATTCGTGAAGATACAATCTAGACCGTTGTTTATCGTTTTGAGTTGATCTTGACCGTTGATTCAGCTGATCGGCGACGAAGTTGTAAAGCTAGCTTCTTTTTTTTCCCCAAAGTTGAGTTTTTTTTTTTTTGTTAAACCCCTAAAATCTCGTTTCACTCTCTTCTTCTCAAATTGAGTAATCCCTAAAAATCTCTACCATTTTCGAACCTGATGAGATTCATAGGAAGTCAAACTAGAACGAAACCATTTGATGGATTCTGTTAGCTTCTGAAGTTTTATTGTCTTAATGATTAACACAATGTTTTGGGATATGAATAGAGAATATCATATGGAGAATGTTGTACTATTGACTTGTAAATTTGTAATATATATATATACGGCTTTAGAACACAGAGAATCAGAAAGACGACTTATATAAATCAATATCTACTCGTCAGCCAAAACCATTTTCTGTCTCCTCGAGTTTCCTTGCAGCCGACCAATCTCACCGTGCACTATCTCATTCACCAGATCTTTGAAGAGAAGCCTCTCCATGTCAAGCACTACACCAGGGATTGCACCATCAAAGTCTGTCCATTTCCCAGATCGGATTGCCATATCTTCATCCAATATACATTTCAAGAAATCTTCTTCTTCTTCTTCCTCCAACAAGTCTTCTGATCTCTTCTTCGCTTGCTTTTGTAGTGTCTCTATCTCTGAACATAGTTCCTTCAAGAGATTTTGTGCACTTAAGACCCTCTTCCTCGTTTTCGCTTGCTTCATCCATGGATCTACATTGCTCTCAACAAAAGGAAGCTTCTTCACGAGCATTTCATTAACAGCATCGAACACAAGTTTGCGGTTGAGCTTTTCGTTGCTGCTACTGCTGCTGCATCCTTTAGTTTGCTCAAGAACAAGGAACAGCTCCGGATTGATTGGGTGGCCTGAAGGGTGCAGTTGAAAAGTTGTTAATCCTGAGCCAAGATCTCTGAGGAGAAGACCAGAGGCTAAAAGAATCTCGGAAATGTATCTGTGATCGGTGTTAGGATCACTGTTCTCGCATAAAGATGCAATGTAATCTTGACTGGTTTCGTCATGGCTAGAGTTTAGTCTTCTTAGCTTTTGAACCAAATGCTCAACATTCTGAAGTTTCTTTCGGTTCATCTCTGGCGAAAAGCTGGTTGTCGTCTTTGAGAAGCTATAAGCTGGATTCCACTGGTCCTCCTCGCAATGTTCAACACCCAAGTCAATAGGGCCATTAACACCTGTTACAAGATCAATTTCCAAGTCAGAAATGGAAAGAATATGATTGAAAACATAAAACAATTTACTTTTTTCCAATAAAGATGTATATAGAGATGTCTTACTGCCTTCACTAGCTTGGATTTTCACAGGAGATGGTTTGATCTCTCTGTAGATTTCTGCATTGAGAACAGAAACTGGACTTGGATGTTCTGATGATCCATCACTAAACGTTGGACTGGACTTCTGGGTAAACAGAAACAAATGTGTAGAAAATTAGCAGTTGAAATTTAAAGTACCAAACAATTTAGCAGTGGTATGAGAAACAGCAACTCACATTCTGTATTAAGTTAGAGACTACAGCTTTGGCTGCCTCTATTACAGATGGACTCTTTCCACCATTTTCGATACTCACGGGGGCTTCTGTTTTAGTCCTAGATTTATTGCTCATTTGACTTAGTTGGCCATCATTTTGTTGCATGCTCCTCTGATCCCTGGGTCTACTACGTCTACCACCAGGAGAAGTAGTAGATTCCACGGGTTGTCGGTTTATTTGTTTTCTTAATTTGCTTGAATCAGATGGAGAGGCTGGTGGCCGAGAACGCTTGTCTTTCTCATGCTTCATCCGCTGCAATTTTGGACTTGTAGGTCCTGAATTCTTTGAAGTGCTTTCTTTGGAAACCTGAGAAGACCTCACGTTTCTGCTGCTAGATATCTTATCAGAACTGATACATGGTTCAGCTCTTTGGTTTCCAGGACTACGATCTTTTGCTGCCTTTCTACTTGTTGAACTTCTTCTAGCATTTGCAGGTTCTTCTCTACAGGTCTTGTTAAGACCGGATAGACTATGAATGGGAATCAATGATGATGAAGGGATACCAGATTTTTCAACAAGTCTGGCAGGTTTCATTATCACAATTGGGCCTCTGATATTGGATGGCATCACCGGGTTTCGCAGGTCTATTGAATCATGGTTAGAAGTTGTAGAATCTGCCAGTTCGTAATCTCTTTGAGCTTCCAAGTTTGAGCATTGTGGTTGCTTTCGAGTATCAAAGAGACCTTTTGATTGCATTGCCTCTAATATATCTTTAAGAGCTCTGAGATCCTTTCCCGAATGTTTTAACTCGAGATCTTTCAATCTTCCCTCCATTGACTGCGACAGAGATTTCACAGACCTGCAGGCTTGCTTTTGAGAAAACCGGTTTCTATCAGTTTGCTTCCAAGGAGCTGGTTCAATGGGATATCTCAAACTTGATAAGGGTTTCATAACAAATTCAGAGCTTCTCCATCTTGGAGAAGAAGAAGAAGCAGCAGGGTCCTTACCTAAGCTTCTCGGTGAGCTAGGAGAAAACCGAAGAGAACGGTTCAGGCTATTTTCCCTCAATGATCTTGAGAATGGATCACTGTTATCATCAAACATGTTGAATTTTTCTCTGTTCAAAGGAGAACTTGGTAATGTTTCCAAGCCCATTAGCTTTGCAACAACACTAGGAGGCCGTTTCGGGCTACCTGAAACTTTGTTCATGCTAGAGCTTCTGCTAAAACTTTCAGAAAGCAAATTACCTGATTTGAGATCAATGTGGTCTCTACTGTCCAACGAAAGCCTAGGCAACTCTTTGAGCTTCTTCCCGGATTTCGACTTTCCGCGAGAATCAACATAGTAACGGGATGTATCTTTCATATCAACCTCATTGTAATAATGATGAGATGTTTTTCTAAGTTTGGCTAAAGCTCTGCAGGACTCATTGAAATCGACAGGCGTGGATTGCTTCAAACCATAGGGTCTTGGAGAATCCTCTCTTCTGTTTTGCCTACATACTTCAGAAAGCCCTCTAGCTTCTCTATACATAGAATCTCTAACAACATCTCTAAGGTCAAGTCCCATACGTGCACCACTTCCTTGGCTCATCACTGGATCACTTGTAGGAGATTCTGGAAAAATAACTCGGTCATCCGCAGAAATCTCAAACTGTACTTCTCTGTTGACCTCAGAAGACAATGGGGAAAATGATGAACACGACGATGAGAAAGAAACCCTTGAAGATTCTGTTGATACCCTTGTTAGTTTCTCACTCGACCCATTTCCACTAATAAGGTTTGAGTCTTGAAACTGAAATGCTGATCTGTGCTGACATATTGCATCAACAGAGCCTCTTTCAAAGTTGATACTATTGACATGTGCATTACCTGCAAATAACATCAACAAAGTTTGATGATCTTCTCAAAATTCTCTTTACCAATAAACCCCTCAACATTGCAGATTCTGGAAACTTCGAGAGTCTAAGATTAAGAGAAGTCAAAAGCTACCAAGAGAAGCCACATAAAACCCAAATCCATTTTAACAAAAACTAACAGACATTTCACAAACCAGAGCAAAGTCAGATAAGATTCAGCAAAGAAAGCACAAACCTTTTTAGTCCTCACAGAAGAATCAGACAAGACCTTTACAGTTCATGAAGAAACAGAGCTAAAGAAGAAAGAAGATTGAAAAAGACATACTTATAAAGAACGTTTGTAACAAAATATGGCCATGTACAAGTCAACGACTAAGAGACACGATCTAGAACATTAAGCATTTATTTATTAGTTAATTTTATTGGATTATGATTACCTAAAGTAAGACTTTGACGCCGGCTTGTGAGAACATGGTGGCGATCAAAGATTTGGAAAATCCCATTTATACATCCAATTTTCTTCTGCAGATCCGAGTTTTCATCTGCCAATGTATGAAGAAGAAGCTTCGCAGCCATGAATGGTGAAAAAAGGAGAGAATTTGAACTCTTCCCTCTGTAGTGACAGTGTCTACTCTCTTTTGTGCTTCCAGTAAATCCTAATTTGGGAAAAACGTAAGCTTTCGTTATTTATGCATCAATAGCAACCACCATGGAACGATAAATGATAATGACGGCACTTGCCAACTTTCATATAATTCCAAAAAATTCATCATTTTTATCAAGAATTCAGATTCCAATAAAATTGGCTCTGACAAAGCTCATTGTGAACGTCATTGCTCTCCAGCTAAATTACAGCTTACAGCTTAAATCCCTATCAACGACAAATGAAAAAAATCGCATTTTCTTAAAAACGGTAAATTGGGTACTAAAAAAAAAATCACCTTTTGGTCTCTACTCATAGCAAAAGTTCAAAACTTCAAACAGTGATCTTTGATTCGATTTCTGATTCAGAATCAAAAGTTTTAAGTCTAGGCTAGCAGAAACCTATGAATCTATTGAACCTTATTTTCAACACCTAGATTCCCAAATCCCACTCAACCCCAAAAAGAATAAGACAAGCTCCATTATTACAGAACCTTTTGTCGGAAAACTTAATATTCCAGAAGAAGATCACTGTGAATCAGAGAATGTACATTCAAGAATCTCACTAATCTAAGGAAAAGAAAGAAACCGCCAAGCCAAGAAGAAGAAGATGAGAGAATAAAAGAACCTCTGCAAAATGTTTCTTCTGGTTCAGCTCAGAGAACAAAACAAAAAGACAGCCTCATAAGAAAGAATTTGTTGGTTTTGTTTGTTTGTTCCAATCCCTCACTCTTAAAGACTAAAAGCCCCAAGATTTTAGATTATCTTTAGTAATAATATAGAAGTGATGAATAATAAAAATAGAAATGAGAGAGAGATTGTTCATGAGAATTGGAGATACAGACGCTTTCTCTCAAATCATATGAATCCATGTGGGAAGGAAGTAGGATGTGATTACTTCTTTAGATGTCTCCCCCTGCATGTGACTTCTGTCTTCTTGTTTAGATTTTCTCAAAATTATCCTTCTTTTTATTTCTTCCCATTTTCTTAAATACATTGCAAAATAAAGGAAGTCAAAGTAAATGAAAAATAAGTTTTCTTCTCTATGTTTACATGATCAGAAAAAACAAAGATAGTTGTTACATGAAAATTAAAAAAAAAAAAATTGTTTTAACTGTATAAAAATTTTACATGAAAACAGGTTGACATAATCACATGCTAATCATCAACAACGAAATTAGTTGGATATGGAGGAACCACATGCTTTAGTAGTTTGGATTGCCAACTAGGACTAGTTTGACTTTTCTTCTACGTTATCTCCAGATTTTGATTTCCTACTGAATTGATCAACCAAACTCTAGCTCTAGAAAGAGTAAACAGGGACTGTGTGAATACTGAGCCAGAGACTGTCAAATATGAACCAAACAATATCACATTCTATGAAAAGATTAAAGATGGTTGGGACTCTTCTTATCAAAACACCAAGAAACTCAGTATGTGAAAACCTTTAAATGATCAAGGGTATATAACCAGTTTACAAGAATGACTCCAGAATCTAAAATAAACCATTTTTTATGACAATTAAGCGAGTTCATTGTACAAAAAAACTGTGAGGGAGGAAGCATAACATTGCTTGCAAGTTAAATTAAACCGGAAAAAAGAAAAAACGAAAATTGCAGAGAAGAAGAAGAAGAAGAAGAAAAAAAAAAACTAACTCAGAGTAAGCTCCTCATCATCCTCACCAGTCACCATGATAATCTAACTTAGATTCTAAATTAAACCCACCCTATCTCCAGACTAATGTACAGGAAAAGAAATGATGTTGTTCATGCTGTTGTTCCTCTGTCTATAGCGGAGAATCTCTCATCTGTAAATTAAATGCTCAAAACGAAGAGAGTTAGACCCAACTAGTTTTAGATGCAATGGCTTCTTCTGCTCTTCTGTGGCCTAGTGATTCAATCATAATGACTTATTAAAAAGAAGTTAGCCCACCTTTGTATTTGTAGCTATGACTCTCCAGGTCCGGTCTTGGTAGCTCTATCATCTATCATTATCGCATTTCTAGATTCTAAAGACGCTTC